AAAATTCAATCTTAATTTTTACAGACGGCATTTTAATTGAATTTTTGAAATATAATTTCAATAAATTCATTTGTCTAAGTTTTTTCTTTATCGGACAATTTTTTGTAATCTTAAATTTGTATGGATTGTGTGCCCAATTTGTTTTTAGATATTTAATTCTAAACAGGTAAGACAAGTCATTTTAATTAGATTAATTGAGGTTGGTAAAATCGCATTCACGGGATCCCGTAACGGGATTTTTTCAAAAATTTTGCGGGACAGGATCCCGCGGGATTAATCCCGTAAATCCCGATAATCCCGTTCGTCGCTAAAAATACGGGATTTCGGGACAGGACTCCGTAAAATCCCGTACGGGATCCTGTCCCGTTAGTTTAAAAATAAAATCAGACTTGTGACAAATAAATTTAATGGGTGCCGGAATTTTGGTCACCAGCGGAATTTTGGTCACCATGTCAAAAAAACGGAATATTGGACACTGAAATTTTGGTCACCAATAGGAATTTTGGTCACCAAACGGAAAAAAATAATCTTATCTAAAACTGATATCAAAGTGATAAAAAATGATTTTTCAACCCCCAGTTGATCAATTTCAATGTTGATCACTCTCATGGCTGATCACTCCCGTTGATCACTCTCGATCACTCTTCCGGATGATTGATTTACTGGCAGAGTGATCAACATTGAAATTGATCAATTGGGGGTTGAAAAATCATTTTTTATCACTTTGATATCAGTTTTAGATAAAATTTTTTTTTCCGTTTGGTGACCAAAATTCCTATTGGTGACAAAAATTTCAGTGTCCAATATTCCGTTTTTTGACTTGGTGACCAAAATTCCGCTGGTGACCAAAATTCCAAAAAAGTTGGTGACCAAAGTTCCGAAAATCCTTGCTGACCAAAATTCCGGTGACCAAAATTCCGTACACCAATTTAATACCGTAGTTGTGTTTAGTTTTAACTCTTTTTTCCAAGTAGAGTTGCACGAAGTCGAGTTTTTTTTAAAACCGAGACCGAGGATCACTGAGGCTGGAAAAGCCAAGATCGTGGGGCAAATTTTGGGTATAATTTCGGAATACTAAACAGACTCCGATTGGGACAAGTTATATGTCATTCGACTCAGCTCGGCGAGCTGAGTCGAATGACATCAAAAAATCGATTGGGACGTAACTATGGGCCGAGATACAGGGCTCGAAATGGTCAAAAACCATAGGGGGGACCAAGCACTTTTTTGGGGTGAAAAATTCGAATATGCAAATTACACCTCATTCGAAAGAGCTCATCGAGCTGAGTCGAATGACACCAAAATCAACGAAATCCGACTTGATTTGACAAAGTTATGATCGTTTGTTTTAGCTCCTTACCTTTGGTATCCGTCGAGGTTTTTCCTGCTACGGAGGAAGCCAGATAACCCATTACAGCGATAATTGGAATAGGATTAAGTTACGAGCCCAGACCCAGCGCCCGTAGACTCCCCGCGAGGCGCGTGCCGCAAAACTCCGCGCGAAGCGCGGAGTTTTGCACAAGCGCCACGCCGACGCCCCATAGGTTTACGTTGTTTGTTTTTTCTGTCATAACTTCGAATAAACTTGACTAATCACGGCGATTTTGGTCTCATTCGACTCAGCTCGAGAAGCTCTTTCCAATGAGCTATTATTTGCATTTTCGAATTTTTCACCCCAAAAAAGTGCTTGGTCCCCCCTATGGTTTTTGACCATTTCGAGCCCTGTATCTCGGCCCATAGTTAAGTCCCAATCGATTTTTTGATGTCATTCGACTCAGCTCGCCGAGCTGAGTCGAACGACATATAACTTGTCCCAATCGGAGTCTGTTTAGTATTCCGAAATTATTCCAAATTTTGGCCGAGGTTCGAGAATTACCGAGGTTTTTAACAACCTCTATAAATTTTCAAAATCCAATTAAATTTACTAAATTTTATCAAAAATTCACTAGATCATTAACAAAATCATTTGTTAAATCTGATTCAGTAAATATCCCAAGCATCAATTTGTATGTCTGATAAGGAGAGGTCCTGGAAAAATTCTTTAAAAGCCCATTCTTTTAAATTATCGCCGCAGGCGATAATTTTTAAATTTTTTAAAATTTTTTACCATTCCTACACCATTCTATTATATTTCGTATCAATAAAGCTTGTGCGTGACATCAAGAATTAACATGATGAGGGATATCGAGGGATATGTGGATTTTAAGTGATTAAGTGAGATATCGGTGGATATCAATAAATCTAGAGGGTGTGCCGCCTCTACGGTTCCAGTTCCGGAACCGCACCGATTCCGGACAACGCAGCTGGAAACTTTCCATCGCTGTTCACAATTGCCTCTTGCGCTCACCTCTGATCTGAATTAATTCAAAAAGAGCTGATCTTAAAAAAGTTATAGGTAATACTGAAGAATACAGACCCGATTTTTTCCTCCCCAATTTTCCCCCTATTTTTTAAAAAATGGTCAGACTTTTTCCTTTTTTCCATCTATTTTGCCTTTCTAATTTTTGCCTACAATCAAACAAAAAGGATTATTTTTGATATTTTATTTACTGTTTTAATAGAGAAAATGAGTCTTTTCAAACTCATACTTGTCAAATACCAAAAATAATCCTTTTTGTTTGATTGTAGGCAAAAATTAGAAAGGCAAATTGCATGGAAGGAAGCAAAAAGTCTGACCATTTTGTAAAAATATAGGGGGAAAATTGGGGAGGAAAAAATCGGGTCTGTATTCTTCAGTATTACCAAGTTATAAAATATAATAAACATAAATTGTCAGAAACATGAAAATTACCTACCGAACATATTTTTTGTATATGTTTTCGACTGTTTTAATTGTTGGTTTGTTATATAATTTAATTAGTATTTTTTACGCTGTGCAATATATTGATGGGGGTATTAAATTGTTCGATCAAGAATATTTGAACAAAACTCTTCCTTATGTTGTAATAAAAGTGGTATTAAAATTAAAAAGTATGTCAATAAATTTATTATTTTTTTTGTAGGAAGGTTTTTCCTCACTGATTTTTGGTCTCTTTATAATAATTCCTTACATTATAATTTTTATTTGTGGATTTAAAATGGTTTATTAGGTTAATTCACATACTGGATTTGATCAAAATCTGAAGAGATTACTTAGACAATTGGCAAAAACTTTGATAATTTTGGTACATAATTTATTTAGTAATTTAATTTAAATTAAATTCTAGTTAATTATTCCATCTGTAAATCAATTTTTTATTTTATTAATAATCTTTTTTACATTCAATAATGATACAAACGTTTCGAGTAAAGAAGATCATACAAATACTATTTATATATTTTATGGAATTTTCACTCATTTTATACCCGTTTTTAACCCAATTGTTTGTATAATAACTAATAAGCCATACAGAGAAGCTGTTTATAATCGTTTAAGAATACATCCACAATGATTATGTTTTTATTCAGTCGCGAATCAAAATGAATTATGAACGTTTTTTGTAGTCTGAATTCAAATAATTTTTACTTATAAGAGCCCATTTTTATTTACATTATAAAAATTTAAACCCAATTACTTTGTTTAATTTTTAATGTATGTAAGTGTTAATATTTCAATGAAATTCTAGCATGTCTTTTTTGGAACACTTCGGCTGGCAATGGGCCGAAACCTTATCAAACATAGCCCATAGACACGCCTGAAAGTGGGCCAAAATGCACCAAAAACCCAAAAATCACTATTTACAAAAATGATGTAATTTGTGGGCCACTTCATGCCCACTTCTCTTCAATTAATCAATCAGGTCAAAAAGTGGCCCGATATCCGCATTCCAATATTTTATTTAATTTTGTGTTTTTAACATTTCATTGTTTGTTCCTCCCCTTATGAGGAATGTTTTTGTTTGATTTAATTTAGACCAGAATTAATTTAAACATTTAATTAAGACTAAAACTCGTTTTAAATTAATTCTCGTCTCTATAATCATATATGTTTAAAAATTTTACATGTTTGAAAATTTTTGAAAAATATTTTGATTTTCATTAATTTAATTCCCACCTAAAAATTAAATAATATTAAAGCGAAGATATTTGTTAAAAAAAGAATATTTCCACAATAGTTTTTAAAGTTTTATATTTTGAAATATTATTAATAAATAGGGAGTGGCAAAATATGCACGGAAAATCCCAAAATATGCGCATATATATGCACCGAAAAAGCCTAAAATATGCACCAAAATTTGCCAAAATATGCACAAAATATACAGCAAAAATAATGAAAATGCGTTTTAAAAATCTATATTTCAAGTAAAAAATACTAATTTTCATTTAAAATGATGTTAAAGCGCACTTTTAAAAGATTTTATGAACTTAAAATTAAACCAAAATTTATCGCGACAAATTTTTTGCAAAATTTTTTCACCAAATTTTTATTGAAAATTTTTTTGCCTAAAAAATTCCAAAAGTTTGAAAATTTTGCCTTATTTTTACTAAAATTTTTCAAAAAATGCCAAAATATGCAAAAATTTTGGTAAAAATATGCAAAATTTCCCAAAATATGCACAAATATGCAAATATGCAAGTGATGGCCTAAATATGCAAATATATGCATTAAGAACCGGGTCCTAAAGTGCTCGTACCGACGTAAAAACACCATTTTTGAACGTTTTAGATCATGGCATATCCGCATACAAAATATGCATTTGCATGTTTTGCCACTCCCTATTAATAAAGTATTATTATTTAATTTAAATGTCAGAATTATAAATTAATTTATGAGCATCTCCCTTGGCAACCCCTTCTTCTATTATAATTTCAACGTCACTTATTTGTTTGAAATCCTGTTCTATTCCTCCATAAAACTCCTTTCCTTTATTAAATCCAAATTCAATTTTCAAAGGTGGTTGTAATTTCACTTCTCTTCTCATCTGCCAGTACTGATACCTCTGCCAGTTCTTTGTGAAGAGTTTCGACTCTGTTAGACTTGTTATAGAATATATCAATTTAATTCCTAAGTATGTGCAGTAGGCGGCGTGGTGTAATGGATAACACGTCAGTCCGGTCTACTGAAAATGGATAGTTCGCTTCCAGCCGCCGAATGACCTCTTGCACTAACTGAAGGAGAGAAATAGCTATATTGACCCCACGGATATATACGGATATGGATAGCAATGTCAATGTGCAAGTCTGTCAATAACAGCCACTTATGCATGCGATTTTATTTAATTTAGCCCACTTCTCTTAATTTAACTCATAGTTGGAGATGCAGTACGCATCAACGAAATAGTAGTATATTTTTTGCAAAATTATTTTGTAAAAAAATTTATCGTTAAAATTTGTATTAATTAAAGTACGTCTTAATGAAATTTAAAAAACAATAAAAATTGATTATTATATAGAACTTGGAACAATTTGATTTTCTTGTTGATTATCAACCCTCGGTACAACACCATTTATAGGAGCAACAGAATTATTAAACATTTTTTTGAAAAATGTTTTAATTAAATAAAATTCTTTTGAATAAGCCTCTCTGTAATCAGTACTTTAAAAATAAAATTATTATTTTTATTTTAAATTTTATTATTTTTTGTTGTGATTAAATCAACAACAAGGGCACTTAACGGGCATTTATGCTCTTAAATGTAGAGAGGCCTCGGGATTTGACAGCAACTAAATCCGGTTGCCTCGACGTTCTGTGCGTGCCATTCGGATTGATATTATAATAACGAGCCGTAAAAACCAGGTATAAGAGTCTAGTTCGGTATAGACCTTGTTAAATAACCAAAAAGTGCTTCTCATATATAAGATAAACAGACTAAATGCTCTTGTATAATAACCTACCGTATTCCTTTAATAACTACCCTGGGTATTATTGTGTCGACCTTCCTTTAGAGAGGATAATTAATCCCCCTCCCTTTAGAGAGGGTAATTAATACAGGTTATACGGTAATCATTTGCCCAAAACCAATTTTTATGCTAGAGACCGGACTAGCCTGTCGTACAAGAATTTTATCGTACTATAGTCGAGATCTTGAAAAATTCTCGTTAACCGAGATTTTGATTGAGATCTCGTCTCGATTTGGTCTATATCTTATACTCCTACAAAAAAGTAGCATTCAACAACTGCTGTCAAATTTACCTGTTGATAAATAAAATTGGAGCATTCGCAGCTGAACCAAGTATGTAAATAATGCCAGAATATGTCAAGAAAAACCATAATTTGACAGAAATATTATCAACAGAAAATTTTATAATGACCACTTCAGCCAAATAAATAAAGAACGAACCAATATTAAAAAACACGATAAGAAATAAAGATCGTACAAGTTTTTTAAGTGTTTCATCGTTCAAAGCTTTAAAAAAATATTTTGAAAATTACTTGGTATTAGCGTTAATCTCCACTTTTCCTTCTTCCTCCTTTACTTCTTGAAATATGTATAGTGAAGTCAGATGAGGATTACACAAATTAGTGTAAATGGAGATTAAAGGAGGTTATGAAGTTGTAATTTAGAACGAGTTCGCATTGTTAATATCTCAAACTGGGAGTCCCTCCTCTATTATTATAAAATTTTCATTTTAAACAAAAATAAAAATTCTTTTTTACTGGATTCCCGACAGTTTAGGAAAATTGTTGGTCCAAAATCTCTTTTAAATTTTATCATTTTCGAATGACATCAAAATCAGGCGGCTACCACATAAATAAAACGAGATACGGCTCTCATAACAGAGAAAGAGTTTGCAAAAGTTTAGCCACCGGGCAGGATTCCTGCGAACAACTGCTAGTTGTGGCTAGATGCTTTCGCTCACCATATACAGGAGCTCTAACTCTGAGCTACCGGGACATTGGCTAATACTTTCTCTTTTATCCTTTTAGATCGTTTAACCCCCGCCTAAGCGTTTTAAATGCTGCTATGTGAACCATCCTTACATCTCCATCCCTACGTCAGACCGGCCCAAGCGCCTTTGACCGTGGATCGGCTGATTCACCATAGCAGCAAGTGGGGTTCCTTGCTAGCGGCAGCAGAAAGAGCTTAGCAAAAGTTTAGCACCGGGTCATCGACTATCGCTTTCTCTTTTATCCTTTTAGATCGATTAACCCCCGCCTAAGTCTTTTAAATGCCGCTAAGTGAATCATCCATACAATTTTATAACTCATAAAAGTTCCAACTTCATAGGGCTAAAAAATACACCAATTTGAGTGTAATCATTCCTAATACGTTGAGACGAAATTTTGAGTTACTTCTCTTCCCCAAAAAAGTTTTAGATTTTGGGGAAGAGTTCTAGATTTTTTTCATTTTCGATTCCGAAGATTTTCCAAGAATCGACAACACTATTCATGAGAAAATAAAAAAGGGAAGGAGAAATAGGGTTGGATTTTTCGAACCGGGCCGGCGTTCGAGTCTTTTTCTGTCTAAAATTCGAGGCCCGGGGCGTTCAAAACTTGAGGCCCGGTCGATCTTTCGAACCGAACCGGGCCCCCAACCCTAAGGAGAAGAAAGGAAATGGAGGAGACAAACACACTGAACCAATTATTTTTATAAAAACCTGTTGAGAATTTGGCTAATATTAAAATAATTATATAAATAAATATAGCAATAATAATTAGAGTTAAAGGTATAAAAACTGTATTGTTGATTATAGAAGCTAATAATATAAAATCTAAAGGATGCCCAGTCAATTTTAAATTTGAATAGCTCCAAGCTGGTAAAGTACATATGCAAAAAATAATTAAATTAAAAACGAAGATTATTGATAGTTGAACAGAAAGATAATATTTAAGTTTTATGTTATTGTAACTTAAAATTAAATATTAATTATTAGGGCTCGGATTTGTATTGAAATATATTTTTCCCTAAATATATTTTTATTTTATTTATTTAGTTATGTATGAGCAACCACACGGTATAAAAAATACACTAATTGTGGTGAAAGTCAAAAGACAAATACCGTATTTCCTATATTAGAGCCCCATGGGGCTCTATTTTTCAACTATTCTCCAAGGTGGGGCTGTATTAAAGGGTGGGGCTCTAATTGAGGGTGGGGCTCTATTTTTCAACCCTCTTTTGAGATAAAATCCCATTTATTAAATATCCATTGCAACTAGAGATAGGCTGGAGGGGTGGTCGATAAAACCGAAAAATATCGAAAGGAATCGAAATTTTTGATTTTTCACAAAAATTAAAACTTTTTAAGCAATGAATAACAAAATAGTCGCAATAGTTCAATTAGAGTAAGATTACTAAGTATGAAATTTTGGTAGATTTGGACGGATTAAAAGAAATATTAGGGGACTAGTATTTGACATCGATGGATCAGAGGTATAAAAGTTGATTTTAAGGGATTATGGGGAATATAATAGGATTAAGTTTATATTGAGAGATTTAGCGGGATTAATTTGTAAGAGGGGTATTCTGAATTAGGGGTATTAGGAGGCATATGAAGCGATTTTGTTTGATGAGGCCTTGGAACAGGTTCCAGAACTGGAACTGAAGTAATTCAAAAAGCAGTTCCAAAACGGGAACCGGTTCCAGAGAAATTTTGGAACTTCTCCATCACTGATTATAAGCGAATAGATCTCTAATAATCTCGCGAATTATCGTCAATTTCCTAACACGATTGCAACACTTCATACAATGATTAGATTTTGGAGGTAATAGGAGGAATTTAGAGGAATATAGGCGATATTAGAGTATTTTGACGGATAACGGGATTAATCCCTCATTTTCATCCCTAATCCCCATGATCCCTCCTCCTCCATGATCACAATATCATCAATATCCCCCTTTACTTCCTTAACTCTCGAAATACATCTAAAAAGTTATTCGGATATTTTTTTCCTCCAATATTTTTAAGTGGGGCTGTATTTGGGGTGGGGCTCTAATTGAGGGTGGGGCTCTATTTTTCAACTATCCTCCAAAGTGGGGCTGTATTAGAGGGTGGGGCTCTAACAGAGGGTGGGGCTCTAATATAGGAAATACGGTATATGTAAAAAAGACAAAATTTATGAGCAAATTTTATGTCAATGATTTTTGCTAACTCGATACGGGTTGGTTAAATGGTTAAATTGATTAATATCCTTGTTAAATATGAGGTGGATGAAAATATGGTGTGGTTCCTTATGGAGAAAAATTCCCGGAAAAATTGCTTTGCTGATATGACCATCCTGCCCGGCTTTAATTCCGGGCAGGTTTCTTAATAGATCTTAAACCCCCTCGATCCTGTGACCCCCTGGCAGTTATTTTTACGTGTCTTCTCTCACCACGTACAGGTGCTCTACCAACTGAGCTACCGGGATGCTGCTTTCACCTTCTCTTTTGTTAGATCTTAAACCCCCCCTGGTGAGCATTTTAAATGCTAGCCAGCTGGATCTTTCTATTCTTTATAATGTTCCGTTTGTAGAACAATTGAAGGAGATAATTCCTTCGAGACATTTAAGGATTATACTAAATTCTTACAAAATAGGCATGCAAATAGCTAATAATCTGTCAAAACTAAGCAAGACAAGTATTAAATGTGATGTGAGATATGCAGCAAAACAGTAAAATATAACAGCATTAACTGCCCAAGATGGAATATAATTAATTCCACTTGCTGCCATTACCAAATAAATTAATTCTAGCATGTTGCATAAAATTTCATTAAATGAGTAAATAAAAAGCATAACACTTGTATTACTTTTTAATGATGAATATTTTTTTCTTAAATTATTTAAATTACTAAAAGTATTACAAGATAAATACTGCAATTCCGAAAATGTAACCCCATGGGGCTTTATTTTCAACTATCCTCTAAGATAGGGCTAATTTCAGGATGTTGTTCTAATTAAGGGCGAGGCTTTATTTTTTAACCCCCCCCCCCATTTTGTGTAAAATTGCACTAGTATCCAAATTAGTGTTCACTTGAAATCCGGTCTTTCTTCGACCAGAAACGGTAAAAATAAAATTTCCGAAAATCTTTCCGTTAGCCGACAGATATTTTACATAGACTCCCCCATCCCTAATGTATACAGGGTGACCAGAAAGTACTGGGGTGTTGTAATTTCACACCATACCCCAAGATACTACCAACTTTTGTCCAAAATTTTTCCTTGTGCCTTT